ATTTGACTCATTATTTGGTTTTTTAGTTTTATTCCAATATATAACATAATTGTATACTAATTATAATTTTTCTAAGAAAAAAATTAATTTTTTACTTTTANAATATTGTGTCCATTATAATTTGACCCATTATTTGGTTTTTTAGTTTTATTCCAATATATAACATAATTGTATACTAATTATAATTTTTCTAAGAAAAAAATTAAATTTTTACTTTTAATTTTATTTCAATAAATAATATAATAGAACATGAATTTTAGTTATAAAATTTAAAATATTTAATATTCTATCTTTAATTAGAGTATTTTTTATCTAAATATAATATTTTTAAACTTGAATGGTCGAAATATTACACACATATCAATTTCAGGAGGTTTAAGTATAATTTACTAATGAATATACTAACGAAAATTGATCATATGGATTGTTACGCGTGTATAAATTTCAGAAGGTCTGTGTATAATATTTCAAATATTAGAGGTCTAAGTGATTAAGTAACAAATTTTAGGAGACCTGCGTGTAATTCTCTTTATTTTTTTTACTAAATTATGGTGATTTTAATAGTTATTTTTTATTCCACTATTTTTAAAACTTGTTTTTAGTCTATCCCTTCTGTGAAAAAACACATAATTTTATTACTCATAGAAAACACGTTTTTTATATAAAAAAACAAATTTTGTGGGTTAAATCCACAAACGACTACATATAAAAAAAAAATTGAATTTCTTTAGAAAGAATATGATTTGTCTCATCATATTAACTATTACTTTTGCCCCTCGATATGTAATTTTATTTCATTTTACTTAAAGATGTGATGATACATAACTAAATTTCCTCCAAAATATGAAAAATTATTTAGTTTTGGGGTATTAAAATTAGGCATGTCAATCGTGCCGAGTCGGGTGAAGTGGATACGTGTCGAAAAATACTCTACTCACACTCTATTCGTTTATTAATTCGTATTTAACAAGTCGTGTCATATCGAATTCGTATCATATATCAATCGTGTATAACTGATATATAAACGAGTCATATTATGTTTTTTTTTTATTGATTTCGCTCATACCCGATTTATTTATTAATTATGTCATGTCAAGTTTACTCGTTTACAGAAATAAGTGACTTCAAGAAAATTTAAACCTTCTAATTTTATATTATATTTTGACCCCCAATAAAAATAATACGAGTGAGCAATATTAAAAACTTAATAAGAGAGAGAAAGACCGCAGTGAGATGAGGATCATGACTTAGTACTCAATGTTTTTTTTCCCTTTCTTTTCTACGAGGAGAGGGGACTAAAAATTATATGTTGAGTCACTTATTGTCAATTATAATTACTGAAATCTTTGTGCTTTTGTAGAAATATTAAGAGCTTATTAAAATGCAATAAATCGATGATAAAGTCGTAATCTTTAAAGGTGTTTAAATATTTGATTATCCGTAAATTTTAATTCTTTCATACCCTACTCAACTCTATTGATTGGCTACCCAAAAGAATCGGGTAGGCCAACAAAAGATTTTTTTTCTATTCTACAAAAAATTGGATAAGAATACGAAATATCTACAAAATTTTCACATTCCTACTCTCTCTCTATATATATATATTAATCTCTAAAAATTAAAATCTAAAAATCTAGAAACTCTAATATTTTGTTGATGTTTATGGCTTTTTTATATATGATGTATTGATGTTTTAGGACTTTATTGTTGTATTTTATTATAATTGTTTATGTATTATCAAATTTATTGCATTTTCTTTAGTGTTATTGACTTATTGTGTTAATTAATTGGTACAGGTTACATAATTAAATNAATATAATATTTTTAAACTTGAATGGTCGAAATATTACACACGTATCAATTTCAGGAGGTTTAAGTATAATTTACTAATGAATATACTAACGAAAATTGATCATATGGATTGTTACGCGTGTATAAATTTCAGAAGGTCTGTGTATAATATTTCAAATATTAGAGGTCTAAGTGATTAAGTAACAAATTTTAGGAGACCTGCGTGTAATTCTCTTTATTTTTTTTACTAAATTATGGTGATTTTAATAGTTATTTTTTATTCCACTATTTTTAAAACTTGTTTTTAGTCTATCCCTTATGTGAAAAAACACATAATTTTATTACTCATAGAAAACACGTTTTTTATATAAAAAAAAACAAATTTTGTGGGTTAAATCCACAAACGACTACATATAAAAAAAAATTGAATTTCTTTAGAAAGAATATGATTTGTCTCATCATATTAACTATTACTTTTGCCCCTCGATATGTAATTTTATTTCATTTTACTTAAAGATGTGATGATACATAACTAAATTTCCTCCAAAATATGAAAAATTATTTAGTTTTGGGGTATTAAAATTAGGCATGTCAATCGTGCCGAGTCGGGTGAAGTGGATACATGTCGAAAAATATTCCACCCACACTCTATTCGTTTATTAATTCGTATTTAATAAGTCGTGTCAAATCGAATTCGTATCATATATCAATCGTGTATAACTGATATATAAACGAGTCATATTATGTTTTTTTTTTATTGGTTTCGCTCATACCCGATTTATTTATTAATTATGTCATGTCAAGTCTACTCGTTTACAAAATAAGTGACTTCAAGAAAATTTAAACCTTCTAATTTTATATCATATTTTGACCCCCAATAAAAATAATACGAGTGAGCAATATTAAAAACTTAATAAGAGAGAGAAAGACCGCAGTGAGATGAGGATCATGACTTAGTACTCAATGTTTTTTTTCCCTTTCTTTTCTACGAGGAGAGGGGAGTAAAAATTATATGTTGAGTCACTTATTGTCTATGGAAATGTGCAATTATAATTACTGAAATCTTTGTGCTTTTGTAGAAATATTAAGAACTTATTAAAATGCAATAAGTCGATGATAAAGTCATAATTTTTAAAGGTGTTTAAATATTTGATTATCCGTAAATTTTAATTCTTTTATACCCTACTCAACTCTATTGATCGGCTACCCAAAAGAATCGGGTAGGCCAACAGAAGATTTTTTTTCTATTCTACAAAAATTTGGATAAGAATACGAAATATGTACAAAATTTTCACATTCCTACTCTCTCTCTCTCTCTCTCTATATATATATATATTAATCTCTAAAAATTAAAATCTAAAAATCTAGAAATTTTAATATTTTGTTGATGTTTATGGCTTTTTTATATATGATGTATTGATGTTTTAGGACTTTATTGTTGTGTTTTATTATAATTATTTATGTATTATCAAATTTATTGCATTTTCTTTAGTGTTATTGACTTATTGTGTTAATTAATCGGTACAGGTTACATAATTAAATTTAATTGGTGCAAGTTACTTAATTAAATTGTTAAAATTATCANACAAAAAAAATAAGTTAACAACATAATCCTTGTATAATTGAACAAAAACAAAAACAACAACAATAATACTGATAAGTTTTGGTCCATTCCGGTAAGAGTTTATATGGATATTTTTACATGTCTATTGTTCAATATGCATGATCCATCTCTAATTTAAATGAGACACGTTTGAACGAATTTTCATTTTTATCTGGTCCATTATGATCCCTAATCTCAATAGTGAGGGGGGGGGGGAACCATTGTTTTATTAAAATATCTGCTTCATACTGAACCAAGCCAACTAAACACCAAGCTGACTTGAAGAGCTCTCTCTCTCTCTCTCTCTTAGTTGGCAGAAATTAGGTATATTTCTTCAGACAGTTGATACATACAATAAGATACACCTAATAAGCATGCATATATGAAATAATAAATGCTTAGCGGCCCATGTTCCTGCTCCTAAACCTCTTCCAGTATGACACCCAAATAAACAGATAACATGTCATAGCATGTTCTTTATCAAAAAGGGAAAATAACTCTTTAACACTTTAATTGATGTCCCAATCTCACTCTGTCTCTTGAATTATGGAGTTTTTCACATTACCCCCCTCAAGTACTTCAACTGATTTCATATCATCCTAAACTTAAACATTGTACATGCTTCAGAAGAAAATCATTCAAACCTATAATAGAATAATAAGTGTTTTCAATATCTATAATTTAAGCAATGCAAAACCAATTATAACAGCTCGATTTTCAATGTGACAAAAAAACCAAAGAGTTGAAGGTGAGTCTTGGACAAATAAAAAATTTGGAGGAAAAACAGTGAGACAAAACTACAATACTCGACCAAAATTGATCAAAGGACCCATTTACAAAGAGAGAGAGGAAGAGAAAGATTATAGCCGAGAGACAACCTATTAATTTGCTTGAAGAACTTAGTAATAGTAGACTCATCATGCAACTATAACCATCAAGGCTGGTGGTCTGGCAGCAAAATAGTCAATCTTCTATGGTTTGGGAAGGTGAAGTAGTCAGATATCGCTACTCGGGGGTGATGCACTTTATTCCTCCATGCTCCTAGTCTTGATCTTGAGGTACTAATTGGGCTTGAATCAAATTATAGCTCAATCGAATTGAACGTCTCTAGTCAACCAATTATTTAGACAATTCATGTAATTTATTCACTAACAAGTCCAGACTAGTAAGATCATGTAATGAATGACCAAGTATCCCTTCCTATCTTTTTTTACTCAGGGACAAAAAAAAAAAAGAAGAAGAAGAAGAAAGACTTTCTTTTATTTATGTATGATGTGAGAAAATGTAGTTTTATGTTTCATTTCACAGGCACCACCTTGAAATAGTATATTTTATTGTTCGGGATTTATTAATAGTGTTTGATGTGAGAATGATTGGGACCCTACACCAGACTACCAACTTATTTATTTTAATATGTTGTTTAAGCACCACCCTCTCTCTCTCTCTCTCACACACACACACACATCTATTCCAGTGACATTATGGAAGTATATTCACATACTAGCATCTCTGATGCATACAAAACCGCTTATTACTTGCATCTTATAAACCTCACTATTCACAGAAACGTTGTGAAATTTTCAAATTTTATGAAAATAATAGTGCTAATTGATTAGTTTTTATTCATGTATGATTATGATTGTAACCACCACATCGCTTTAGTGCCTACTGAAGTACAATATGAAAATTGTTGGAGCCAAACTAAAGAAATGTTGTTTGAGAAATACATACAATCTACTCGGACCGCAACAGAAAAACTTGCTGCAATCACTGCCTGAATTCCCGAGAGCAAAGAGATTGTTGACACAGACTACAAATTCAAAAGTCAAACCTCTTTCTGTAAACAAAACTCGAATTTTGGCACCATCCACAGGATAGTCCTGCTAAGAGAAGTCTCCATGATTAAACACGGAGAACTACGTAAGGCTGATGGAGGTAGCATAAGATTGCAGTAGGGTTAAAGCTTGCTCTGTAATAGCCCTGTTCCTTGCTTGCCTAACCCAATCACCGACAATTTCAGATGCTTGGCTGCCTTTGACGCCCTCCTCCAGAGTATCTGCAGCTTCAGAGAGTTTCCCTTCTGTTAAGAAGCTCTCAACTCTCTTGATTAGAGATTCAATCCCATCACCAGACTCGTTAACCTCTTTAACCTGAACTCAAAAGCAAAGTTTCCCAAAAAAAAAATTGAAGAAAGGGAGACAGGGAACAAAAATGTCCAATGAGCAAGTTGTTATTCACCCATTACACATCAGGAAGCTTTTAAATTCATGCATAATTGTACATACCTTCAGCCACGATGCAACATGAGCCAAAGAATGTGTCAAAATCCCACCACCACCCGGGGGGATTAAGCTGAAATGTCGCAGCGTCCCTTTCAAGGTATCGAACTGTGAGAACAGCATAGGGTTAGATCAACATCCGCCAACCCTCAATTTTTTTTTTGGAATAAAGGTATTGTTAGGAACCTAAATAATATGAAAGCATTCTGTCAAAAATGCAATGTATGCTTCTACTTATTAGGTGTCAAGACTTTGAAGATCAACATTAAATAACCCGTGGAAAGCTCAGGGATGTTAGAGAGATACTAAGTGAAGACAAAATTATGCTACTAGGGAGTAGAGAGAGACCAAGTGGACAAACTTGTGCTAAGGCTCAATGTGCAATGGCAAATCCAAAAAAAAGAATAATCAGTAACACCATGCCTGCAGTCCAGAACCACGATTCAAGAAAACCATCAAAAGAGAAGGAAAATGCAAATAACCACCAATCAACCACTCCATTCATAAATTTAATGCTACACACCGGCAGGACAGTTGTTCTTGATATTTGACAGAGATGAAGAATGAATNGAAAATGCAAATAACCACCAATCAACCACTCCATTCATAAATTTAATGCTACACACCGGCAGGACAGTTGTTCTTGATATTTGACAGAGATGAAGAATGGTGATGTTTAATGACAACTGCCACAAAACTAATAGCAACCAAAATATGACAATTGACATGAAGCAAGAACAGCAGTGCAACTGGCCATAAACATAAAATCCTCGAATAACTTGCCTTGTAATTCAATTGCAGCAGAGTATCTGTTCCATAGTTTCGTGTTTCTTCAGGAAGGGATGATAGAACTAGAGTTAAAAGGGAGTCTTTATCAATGTCTTCTACGTAAGTATGCAGCAAGTCTATTTCTTTCCGAATAGGTAGCCCCTTAGATAAAGCGTCTTCCAGTGCAAGTGCTCCCTACAAAACATGAAGCATAAATGACAATGTTTTCAAGTTAGGCAAAAGGAAATACTAACAAAGATATATATCCTACAAAGTCACAATCTATTAACATGATAAAATTTCTTAAGCATCAATTTTATTTTTTTTTGCATGTCACCAAGCCAAACTTTTGCCCAAAACCAAAAAGAAAAAAAAGAGAGAAGAAGACAATTATGCCTTTCATCCTCTTTCTTCCTTTCTTTTTTTTTTTAGGTATTTTTTGAGTGGTGGAGGTGAGGGGTGGGAGCCATGCATCAAAAAGAGCCATGAGGGTAAGAGGTAATCACTCAAGCCAAGCATGTAGCAAGCTAATTTCAAGAGTTAAGGACCAACAATGCAACAGAGAGATGGATCAATGTAGCCGTTTTATTTGAATGCCTAGTTTCCAAAGAACCTGAAATAAAATCGNATCAAGAAATTTAGGCCAATTAAGAGTGCAAAACCCTATAGAGCTTGAGGTGTTTACTTTACAAACTAATAATCATTACCACGAAACACGCAGAGGAACTACAATATGACTGATACTTCTAAATCGAAATCTTAAACAAATTTATGAATTAAAAAAGGTATAATTGACATATACGCATGCTTGCANCTGGAACTTTGTCTGTAATGGTCCACTTATGTAGTAACAATATTATGTTGGAAAAAGATTTACCAAGGCAAGCTTGTGAACAGAATGACTCTGACGAGCCTCTTCAGATCGAGCATAGAATGCCATGCACAATGCATTTATCTACGAGAAAACCATATTGCATCAACTTCAGCAACATATAAATTCGAATTTATTAAAGGCCAACAAGAACAATAAATAAGAAATGCATCAATGGGGCCTGTTCCTTGTGCAGCATACCATATGACAAGGAAATTTAACACATCAAGAAAAGTAAACAAAAAGAAAAATACACAAAACAAAATTAGTCATCTCGGTGGGAATTTCAGGTACTCAAAATATTTCGTCTGGTGAAGTGGCAACGATACATCTCTGTTTCACTGAATGACAAAATCTTTCAGAATTTAATATTTGGAAAACACAAGTAAAAAGAATCTAACAGAAATGTGGATCCTTCTTATTACAGTAAACCTCCAATCACAAAACTCTCCCACCTTCCACAGTTGATGTCTATTCGTGATTATTAACTCAGTCCCTAAGAATGGTATGCCATAACGTAGGACTCCTTATAAAATTTCCAGCATGATGATATGAATCCTCTGTTTTATCCATTGATAAGTATGCTTACTGAGACCTAAGTTGCAAGAAATTTGCATAAACTTTTTGACTAAATAAAGTTAATTCTTGCGTTCAAAGTAGCAGAATACCAGCCGGTGACAAAAACAACATGCAATATCTAGGTATTATTACTGTTTGTCCCATGAAGGTTTGAAAGCATAAGAAATGATGGAAGAGAACTTTTAAACATCAGCATTAAATAACTGCTGATTGACATTGGCAAGTTATAATTGACCACAAATAAAATACAGAAAATCCAATTAATGAATATACCCAAATGCAGAAGACTTTTTGTTTAAACATGTTCTTTTATTGAGTTTTCTTTTATCATTTCATGCAACTATATGCATTCCACCATCACTGCAAGATTTCCCACAAGGTAGAGAGTGTCATCTAAATGAAAAGTGATTTGCAAGTCACATCAAAATTTAAGTCTATACACCAGCAACTATACGTGTATGATGACTTGGCATATGTCATACATTAAGATTTGCTTCTGCCATTTTTTCAATCTGAGAAGCCTTCTCACTTGCAATTGTGGCAGCCAGTTCTGCTTTTGCTAACTCTTGCATTGTCTTCTGCTTCAATTCTGCTTCAGTTTCCTGCATTTTTGGAGATTAGCAATTTGAATTTACAAACCTTCAGATGCTGTAATCACAGAAAAAAAGTTGCCAACAGCATGCAATAAACTCACACCTTCTGTTCAAGCTCCATCTGCAGTTTTTCTTCCAATTTTTCTTGGAGTGACTTGAGAGCAACAGCTGCTTTTACTCTTTCCTTGTTTAATTCCTATAATAAAAAAGGGGCAAACAATTCTGCACAACTTAGAAGATGATTATCACCAGGAAATGAATATATAATAGCAACATGAAATATCATAATATACAGAGCAACTCTAAACAAATACACGGCTTTTCACAAAACAGTTGAGTTATTAGTGAAGATATTGAATAAATTCCATTTCTAGAAGGAGAATTAGTTCAATAACCAAGAACTTATAGCTGAAACCTACATATCCTAGACAAAGATGAACATCTGGAACCCTTCAAATTTCCTTTCACAGATTATTGCTTTTCTGAAGCAGAAGGCTAAACTTCATTAAGCTAAATCCCTACAGAAACTTCATTTCCTTAATGTGTGTAACCTTAAGCTACTTCAGGTTTGCCTTAGAATAAAAATACAAAAACCATCATAGCACAAAAATATAAACATCAATGTCACATGACATTAATTGTAATCTTCACACGACCAGCACCAACTTGAATGTAGACCAGAAGTAAAACATATTGAGGAACAGCTGCAATAAACACTGTCTAAAGTGTCTGCAGGGGATAATGGAGAACATGCAGATTGGTTACCAAATACAAGAAAAAGTATAAAGGTAAAGGGGGTAGACTATTGCAACCTTATCCAAAATGGCTTCCCTTTCAGCATACATAAGTTCCCTGGCTCTTGCATCCTTCAATTCCTTGTCATACTTCTCCTGATATATTTAATCAGACAAGATTAGCAAGAGTAAGCCAAGCCAAGCCAAGTCCAAGAGATCATGAATGATAGATTAGAATGGGAAATATGGAAAATAGTCTCCAGATTAGAATTTGCCCAAACCTTTATCATTCTTTTTTCTTCAGCAAAAATATGAGCATCTAACTCTGCTTGCCTTTTCTCAGCTGCATGAATGGCTTGCAAAAAATCAAGAACCAACTTCCCATCCTTAGATATGTAAGCATCATTCAAATCTTCAACTGCCCCCACTAAATCCTGCAGTTCCACAAAACGAAGAACATTAAGTCACCTTGTCGCAATAGGCATGAACTAGAAAGCATAGAGTAACAACGTATATAGTATGAAACAAGTTAGTTCCACAAAACAATTTCCCTTTGTATAGAACACTTGAAAATACACTAACCTTATCTTCAGTTGAAGCAGCTGCTGCAGTTTTTTCAGTCTCATCTTTTAAATGGTATGCATCAAGGAGGGAACTTGGCTGTCTCATACCATCACCAGGGGCATTCTGCAAATTACCTCAAAATAACTGTAAATGGCACACATGCAAATTAAACTTTGATACAGAAAATTACTGCTACCTCTGGTGTGTCTTTAGTGTTGAAGTGTTGTGGCGGCATGAACTGCATCTCATTTTCTTGGGGAACTGCATCAGCCTGTTCAAGTATTGGTGTGATTTTGACAGCCTCAAGCTGCTCCAAATCAGGTTTCACCTCTGGGTTCTTCATGTCAAGATTATCTTCAAGCGGTGTTCTAGAATTACTACCTCCATTATCTGATGCCATGCTGCTATGAGGAGCTTTGGGAAACTCATTCCCCTGTCTGGGGCTGATATCTTCTTGAGGAGTTATTTCTGATGTCTCAGTTACTTTAAACTGGCTCTCTCCTTCATTTATGCTCGAATCTTCAAGGTGAGTGGAAGCTGAATGAATTTCAATATTTTCCTCCACATGATCCACGCCAGGGTTTAATATGCTCGACTCTTGAAGGTTGGGAACATTCTCTGCTAAATGTTCCCCATCCTTTGAACTTGTATTACTTTCCGACAAGTGCACCTTGTCTAGCTCAATAGCTTTTCTATGCTGCTCTTTACCAAATCGAGTATCCCATTGGTAAGCTGTCACAAAAGCAGCACCTAGTGCAATGCTTCCCAGAACAACTTTTGACAAATTACTACCAGACTCGGATGGCTTTCCTGTTGAACCCGATCCCTGTGGTGCATTTTGCTGAGGTGTAACAGAGAATTCCTTCCTAGAAGAAAGATATGAAGGAATCTGGTCGAAATGTGTCAACAAAGAGAAGGAATAAAATGTTAAAAATCAGTTTCTCGCATTAGTATATAGTGCAATGGATGAAGACGTACAACGTGCATAGTTCACATCAATCTGAACTCAAAACTTTCGTGTATTTTTTCGTATGTCAACAACAAAATAAGCAAGGAAAAAAAAGAGTAACAGTCCGATAGTACCACAAGCAAAGAAGATGAAGGGCCTAAATAGGTAAGTTTAATGATTAATAATTATACAAATAAGCATAAATATATTTGGGAACATGGGGCAAAGTTTTGATGAGGAGACTAGGCATAAATATTTTGTTCCACCTGTCACCCTCGTCATTTGCGACTCCTTGACCATGTAGCAAAAAAGTTAAAAGAAATCAGAACTGAATGACTGCACCATGGGCCCTATAGCCAATGGCCACAGCACCCTTCCAACACCGAAACGAAAATATATAAATATCCCAATTTCATTTTATATGAATGGTCACCTTGGGCACAGTGCCTCCAAAGGCTTATAAATAGAAGTGTTTACTACTGTAGCTTTTGGGCGATGCTCCATGCATCGCTAGCCCAGGGTTCAGGCAAAAAAAAAGAATGGTCATCCTTGGCTCATAGGACTGAGGAAAACAATTTAGCAGTTCTCATGTGGGATATGTGAAGTCTGGGTGTAACCCATGCTTGACAAAGATATTTGACTCATCTTTAGCTTGATAAATGATACCACGAATGGGTTCTCCACACACAGGCCACCATTTTAAGGCAGATGTCAAGGGAAATGTCCTATGTATAATACCTCGACCCAATCTGGAAGGCTAACTTCAACGCATTTCAGGTGATCTAGTTGCGTAGACTCGCAGGCCAAAGAACATTCAACTGTTCCTAAAAAGGGAGTCAATCGAGTGGCGTTGTGTCATGCTTGGGTCGTGCTCTTTTGGGTTGTGTCATTTTTCGTTCAGGTCGTGGGGAAAAAACCATTTAATACAAAAATAATTCATAAAATACTATATCAATAAATGGAAAAAAAATAACAATACCAATTAAACAGGTTAACCATATCTAACACTAACCCAACCTACTTATTATGTATGTTAATTGGTCTGTGTTATTTTTGGATTCATCTCGTGCTCATGCCATCATGTAAAATTGACACCCCTCAGTTTCTTTACTTAGCTACATAGACTACGGTACTATGCAGCATTAACTTGAAATTATTTTATTTCACATTAAGAAATAACTATTTGAAAATAAATACTACTTAGATTCATTTGAGCATAGTTTGACGCACATAAATTTCACTTGTAAGCACTTTGGTGGGTGTGGACTTTGACTTGAGACATGCTACATAAAAAGTACCAGGAATGCAGTATTCAAATGAATTTGTCAAGTGTTTCAGCAGAAGTAAACAAGTGGACATCAACAAGACAGCTGCTCATGAATTATCAACAAGAGGACATTATTAAGACACGCTGCTCTCTCCAATATATTTTGCTTCCTTTGGACCATGTGCAGCCTACTAACTGGCTACAACCAACATTTCATGAGATCTGGACTGCAAAAATTTTCAGATACTATTGTCGGATGTCAGTACAGGGCTCTTCTGAGATTTAAACTTTTCTGCACTACCCTCTAGTCAATATGACCCCTCCACCATGTTTATTTCATGGTGTCAACACTCTGGTGCTTCTGTATACCCTTATGTATAGAGCAGTAATGAAACATTAAGCACACAAAACCCAGGAAATTGCAGATAGTATGATGAACTTCATCTGATTCTTGAGTATCTAAGTCAACACCTTCGTTTAAACCGCAATGTGAGTTCATTTTTTTTCTTACATCCACATGTAGATCAACCATGATCTATTTTCTAACTCTAGTTTATTTGCAAATGCGTAAATCATACATCTCAAGTCCTCTAAAACTGTCAATGTTCTAATGAATATATCTACGATGTGCATATTCTAGAATGCATATTGTCTTCAGTCGGCTGCAACTTGTGAAGGTATTCTCCCACCTCCTAATCCCCCACCCCAATTTTCTTCCTTTACCGAACTCAAAAAAGTACTATGTCACCAAAAATAAATCAAGCAAATAGTCTCTCCCTCCGTGTGTATGAGTGTGAGGAGATGGAAACTACATTTCGGTAAACACCATAACTAATATTCAAATAACCATGAGTTAAGCTTTTGCGTTGTTTGGTATTATAAAAAAATAGAAGGATGAAAAATTAAAAGGATAGTTAAAACACCATGTTTGTTAAGAAATGAAAATAGAAAGGATAAAAAACTGAATGGATTAGCCTTACTTCCAATTCACTAAAATCTATCCCTCAAAAAATTGAGAAAAAATTTGTATGTAAAGTTAATTATGTATATTGAAATGTATGTTCTCTACTACTATATCCCTTAATATGTGTATATATCATATTTATCTATTATATATTATATATTATTGTGCACATTAATTTTTTATATAGATATAACGGTAAAATATATATCTACACTTTTTTCATCCTCCCACTTTTCCATCCTACCATATATAAAAAAACTAATCCTTCTTACTTTCTATCCCTCCTACAAACACAAACACAAACACAAATGAGAGAAGTAAAGATTCCTCCATAGAAGGATAGCAACTGTAAAATTATATTGAGTAATATAATTTTAACCCCACCATCATGTCATAGAATTTCAACTGCATTATAATTTATTGCTTTATTTTTTCAAAATAACGAAAACGCAATTCAGTCACCTATCAACCAATTCGTTTAAGGGTATTACAGAAAATTTTAAAAAAAAAATCAGCTTATTAAAGGAGAAATATAAAAATGCCTGGGTTGTAATCTGCGTTGGAGTCCTTTTAACCAGTCGACGGGACGAGAGCTCCAGAATGGACCTGCGAATGAAGAAAGCATATTTGTTGTGCATCAATTAACAAAACCAAAATACTCAGGCAAAAAAAGACAAAATCATCAAGAAATTTAGGCCAATTAAGAGTGCAAAACCCTATAGAGCTTGAGGTGTTTACTTTACAAACTAATAATCATTACCACGAAACACGCAGAGGAACTACAATATGACTGATACTTCTAAATCGAAATCTTAAACAAATTTATGAATTAAAAAAGGTATAATTGACATATACGCATGCTTGCAACTACATATGTATATAGATTCGTGTACCTCCGCAACATGATCGACTGGGTTTGAAATAAAGAGGAAGTCCGACGTTTATAATGATATGGCTGATTGATCGAACAACTGAGCGGTGGATCTGAGGGTAGCACTAATGGTGAAGTGTGGCAGATTGCGAAGAAATTTATGGCGGTGGATGGAGCTCCTGTTGAGAGTGAAATGAAACAGGTGACCAGAGTCTTATTTTTTGAAGGAAGGTTTTTTTTTTCCTGAAAAAAAAAGGACCACAAATTGATTTGTATTATTTTAGTCTGTTTCAATTACATCATTTTATTCGTGAAATATTAAATATATTTCTATATGATCTTTTAAAAAATAATGTCTGAATTATTAATAATTTTTTATCAAAAATTTGTCATTTAATATTTAAATACAGATAAAACAAAATTTTGATAACTTTTAAACAAAATTTTGGTAACTCTTGACAAAAAAATGTGTAACACGGTGAGCTTGTGAACCAAAATTTGGATAAATTATGATCAAAATTGTATAATTTAGATAATTATTTAATTAAAATTTAAATAAAAATTTAGTCAAAAGTTATCCATATAAAATAATTTAATTTAACTTAATAAAATCAATGCACTCTTAATTGATTGATATCGCAAATGAACGAGAGATATGATAAAATATTTGGTAAAACGATTAGACTATGCCATCACTCTGACATGGCGTAACCCTCCATTAATAAATAATAAATAAAAAAGTGAATTTTACATAATTAAATAATTATCCATCAAAATAATGTAATAACAATCCCATATAGAAAAAGTAGGGTACGTTTTATCCATTTAATTTTTTCTCATTTGATGGTTATAATATGTTAGCGTGATAATATAGTATAACTGTGACACTTAATATTTAATCGAGAGAAGACGGAAAAAAAAGATATAATGGGAGTGGAACTTGAGACAGTCGAGTAATTTTTGGAATTATCCTATTAATTAATAATTAAATTATTTAAGAAGGACTATTGACATAAATCCAAATATTGAAACTCATCGGAACCAACTACGTTGCTTCATACATCAAATTTTCTTCATCATTACATACAATAAAATGTTAAATAGAACGAGATTTTTTTATTAAATATTATTTATAACTATTCCCGTCACTATTATATCTATATCTATATTACTTATAAATGTCAACATTTGCGAAAAAATTTTAATTTTCTATTTTATTCTTAATTATTACACTAAAGACAATTATGTCCACAAAATATTAGTTAGATAAACTTTATCACTAATATTTTAAAAAAATTTCTAGATAAATTTTATTACTATATATTAGTTAGATAAAATTTATCTCTATGACTTTCAAAATTTTTACTAAATAAGCTTTATCATTATTCCTTGCCAGTACATTCTTTTTTTTTTTTTGTTGCTATTTTTTAGGTGATAAACATAGCTATCAAAAATTCATTATTCATTGATATATAATAAAAAATTAGAAGAGTAAAGAGCTAAATCCATATATTTTTCTTTTTTAATACCTATTAGATTTTTAAAATATTTTGAACAACTTTATTAGAAATATATAGGTAGGTATAGAAAGATATACCTATATATCTTCAATAACTTCATTAAAATATATTGGTCTTATATCTCTGTAGTAAATTTTTTTTTCAAAATCTTTTAAAATTAGTGGTCTTACATCTCTATCCCCTTGACGTTAAGTATATTGTGGTTGTGAAGAATGATAGGTCGACACCGGGTGTTATCAACTTGTGAGTTTTTTTTTTCTATCAGGACATGCTTATTACTGGTATGATATTTTTTTTATTTTGTTTTTCATCTATTTTGGTATGGCTATTGCATAAATGTTCTATTTACCTTACAACAATTTTTTTTATAATTGGAACTAAAATTAATTTGTGTTCAATTGAATTGGTGTTCCCATCAAAGCGACAATGAAAGCTTAAAAAAAGGTATATTTTCATGGAATGAAGAACTTAATATATTAAATTAAATTTTTAATATTTAATTATTTATTATTAGTAGACTTGTAGAATGAGTTATCATATTTTAAGTAGAATTAGTTTTGTTACTGGACTTCTTGAATTTATGTGATGGTGGAAATAGTTTTATGTTAGTAAATTATATTTAAAAATTTTCTTGATTTTATGTTGTAATGTCATAAATTCTTATTGGATTTAAGAAACCATTAAATGCATATATCAACANTTGCTTTTCTGAAGCAGAAGGCTAAACTTCATTAAGCTAAATCCCTACAGAAACTTCATTTCCTTAATGTGTGTAACCTTAAGCTACTTCAGGTTTGCCTTAGAATAAAAATACAAAAACCATCATAGCACAAAAATATAAACATCAATGTCACATGACATTAATTGTAATCTTCACACGACCAGCACCAACTTGAATGTAGACCAGAAGTAAAACATATTGAGGAACAGCTGCAATAAACACTGTCTAAAGTGTCTGCAGGGGATAATGGAGAACATGCAGATTGGTTACCAAATACAAGAAAAAGTATAAAGGTAAAGGGGGTAGACTATTGCAACCTTATCCAAAATGGCTTCCCTTTCAGCATACATAAGTTCCCTGGCTCTTGCATCCTTCAATTCCTTGTCATACTTCTCCTGATATATTTAATCAGACAAGATTAGCAAGAGTAAGCCAAGCCAAGCCAAGTCCAAGAGATCATGAATGATAGATTAGAATGGGAAATATGGAAAATAGTCTCCAGATTAGAATTTGCCCAAACCTTTATCATTCTTTTTTCTTCAGCAAAAATATGAGCATCTAACTCTGCTTGCCTTTTCTCAGCTGCATGAATGGCTTGCAAAAAATCAAGAACCAACTTCCCATCCTTAGATATGTAAGCATCATTCAAATCTTCAACTGCCCCCACTAAATCCTGCAGTTCCACAAAACGAAGAACATTAAGTCACCTTGTCGCAATAGGCATGAACTAGAAAGCATAGAGTAACAACGTATATAGTATGAAACAAGTTAGTTCCACAAAACAATTTCCCTTTGTATAGAACACTTGAAAATACACTAACCTTATCTTCAGTTGAAGCAGCTGCTGCAGTTTTTTCAGTCTCATCTTTTAAATGGTATGCATCAAGGAGGGAACTTGGCTGTCTCATACCATCACCAGGGGCATTCTGCAAATTACCTCAAAATAACTGTAAATGGCACACATGCAAATTAAACTTTGATACAGAAAATTACTGCTACCTCTGGTGTGTCTTTAGTGTTGAAGTGTTGTGGCGGCATGAACTGCATCTCATTTTCTTGGGGAACTGCATCAGCCTGTTCAAGTATTGGTGTGATTTTGACAGCCTCAAGCTGCTCCAAATCAGGTTTCACCTCTGGGTTCTTCATGTCAAGATTATCTTCAAGCGGTGTTCTAGAATTACTACCTCCATTATCTGATGCCATGCTGCTATGAGGAGCTTTGGGAAACTCATTCCCCTGTCTGGGGCTGATATCTTCTTGAGGAGTTATTTCTGATGTCTCAGTTACTTTAAACTGGCTCTCTCCTTCATTTATGCTCGAATCTTCAAGGTGAGTGGAAGCTGAATGAATTTCAATATTTTCCTCCACATGATCCACGCCAGGGTTTAATATGCTCGACTCTTGAAGGTTGGGAACATTCTCTGCTAAATGTTCCCCATCCTTTGAACTTGTATTACTTTCCGACAAGTGCACCTTGTCTAGCTCAATAGCTTTTCTATGCTGCTCTTTACCAAATCGAGTATCCCATTGGTAAGCTGTCACAAAAGCAGCACCTAGTGCAATGCTTCCCAGAACAACTTTTGACAAATTACTACCAGACTCGGATGGCTTTCCTGTTGAACCCGATCCCTGTGGTGCATTTTGCTGAGGTGTAACAGAGAATTCCTTCCTAGAAGAAAGATATGAAGGAATCTGGTCGAAATGTGTCAACAAAGAGAAGGAATAAAATGTTAAAAATCAGTTTCTCGCATTAGTATATAGTGCAATGGATGAAGACGTACAACGTGCATAGTTCACATCAATCTGAACTCAAAACTTTCGTGTATTTTTTCGTATGTCAACAACAAAATAAGCAAGGAAAAAAAAGAGTAACAGTCCGATAGTACCACAAGCAAAGAAGATGAAGGGCCTAAATAGGTAAGTTTAATGATTAATAATTATACAAATAAGCATAAATATATTTGGGAACATGGGGCAAAGTTTTGATGAGGAGACTAGGCATAAATATTTTGTTCCACCTGTCACCCTCGTCATTTGCGACTCCTTGACCATGTAGCAAAAAAGTTAAAAGAAATCAGAACTGAATGACTGCACCATGGGCCCTATAGCCAATGGCCACAGCACCCTTCCAACACCGAAACGAAAATATATAAATATCCCAATTTCATTTTATATGAATGGTCACCTTGGGCACAGTGCCTCCAAAGGCTTATAAATAGAAGTGTTTACTACTGTAGCTTTTGGGCGATGCTCCATGCATCGCTAGCCCAGGGTTCAGGCAAAAAAAAAGAATGGTCATCCTTGGCTCATAGGACTGAGGAAAACAATTTAGCAGTTCTCATGTGGGATATGTGAAGTCTGGGTGTAACCCATGCTTGACAAAGATATTTGACTCATCTTTAGCTTGATAAATGATACCACGAATGGGTTCTCCACACACAGGCCACCATTTTAAGGCAGATGTCAAGGGAAATGTCCTATGCATAATACCTCGACCCAATCTGGAAGGCTAACTTCAACGCATTTCAGGTGATCTAGTTGCGTAGACTCGCAGGCCAAAGAACATTCAACTGTTCCTAAAAAGGGAGTCAATCGAGTGGCGTTGTGTCATGCTTGGGTCGTGCTCTTTTGGGTTGTGTCATTTTTCGTTCAGGTCGTGGGGAAAAAACCATTTAATACAAAAATAATTCATAAAATACTATATCAATAAATGGAAAAAAAATAACAATACCAATTAAACAGGTTAACCATATCTAACACTAACCCAACCTACTTATTATGTATGTTAATTGGTCTGTGTTATTTTTGGATTCATCTCGTGCTCATGCCATCATGTAAAATTGACACCCCTCAGTTTCTTTACTTAGCTACATAGACTACGGTACTATGCAGCATTAACTTGAAATTATTTTATTTCACATTAAGAAATAACTATTTGAAAATAAATACTACTTAGATTCATTTGAGCATAGTTTGACGCACATAAATTTCACTTGTAAGCACTTTGGTGGGTGTGGACTTTGACTTGAGACATGCTACATAAAAAGTACCAGGAATGCAGTATTCAAATGAATTTGTCAAGTGTTTCAGCAGAAGTAAACAAGTGGACATCAACAAGACAGCTGCTCATGAATTATCAACAAGAGGACATTATTAAGACACGCTGCTCTCTCCAATATATTTTGCTTCCTTTGGACCATGTGCAGCCTACTAACTGGCTACAACCAACATTTCATGAGATCTGGACTGCAAAAATTTTCAGATACTATTGTCGGATGTCAGTACAGGGCTCTTCTGAGATTTAAACTTTTCTGCACTACCCTCTAGTCAATATGACCCCTCCACCATGTTTATTTCATGGTGTCAACACTCTGGTGCTTCTGTATACCCTTATGTATAGAGCAGTAATGAAACATTAAGCACACAAAACCCAGGAAATTGCAGATAGTATGATGAACTTCATCTGATTCTTGAGTATCTAAGTCAACACCTTCGTTTAAACCGCAATGTGAGTTCATTTTTTTTCTTACATCCACATGTAGATCAACCATGATCTATTTTCTAACTCTAGTTTATTTGCAAATGCGTAAATCATACATCTCAAGTCCTCTAAAACTGTCAATGTTCTAATGAATATATCTACGATGTGCATATTCTAGAATGCATATTGTCTTCAGTCGGCTGCAACTTGTGAAGGTATTCTCCCACCTCCTAATCCCCCACCCCAATTTTCTTCCTTTACCGAACTCAAAAAAGTACTATGTCACCAAAAATAAATCAAGCAAATAGTCTCTCCCTCCGTGTGTATGAGTGTGAGGAGATGGAAACTACATTTCGGTAAACACCATAACTAATATTCAAATAACCATGAGTTAAGCTTTTGCGTTGTTTGGTATTATAAAAAAATAGAAGGATGAAAAATTAAAAGGATAGTTAAAACACCATGTTTGTTAAGAAATGAAAATAGAAAGGATAAAAAACTGAATGGATTAGCCTTACTTCCAATTCACTAAAATCTATCCCTCAAAAAATTGAGAAAAAATTTGTATGTAAAGTTAATTATGTATATTGAAATGTATGTTCTCTACTACTATATCCCTTAATATGTGTATATATCATATTTATCTATTATATATTATATATTATTGTGCACATTAATTTTTTATATAGATATAACGGTAAAATATATATCTACACTTTTTTCATCCTCCCACTTTTCCATCCTACCATATATAAAAAAACTAATCCTTCTTACTTTCTATCCCTCCTACTAACACAAACACAAACACAAATGAGAGAAGTAAAGATTCCTCCATAGAAGGATAGCAACTGTAAAATTATATTGAGTAATATAATTTTAACCCCACCATCATGTCATAGAATTTCAACTGCATTATAATTTATTGCTTCATTTTTTCAAAATAACGAAAACGCAATTCAGTCACCTATCAACCAATTCGTTTAAGGGTATTACAGAAAATTTTTAAAAAAAAATCAGCTTATTAAAGGAGAAATATAAAAATGCCTGGGTTGTAATCTGCGTTGGAGTCCTTTTAACCAGTCGACGGGACGAGAGCTCCAGAATGGACCTGCGAATGAAGAAAGCATATTTGTTGTGCATCAATTAACAAAACCAAAATACTCAGGCAAAAAAAGACAAAATCATCAAGAAATTTAGGCCAATTAAGAGTGCAAAACCCTATAGAGCTTGAGGTGTTTACAAACTAATAATCATTACCACGAAACACGCAAAGGAACTACAATATGACTGATACTTCTAAATCGAAATCTTAAACAAATTTATGAATTAAAAAAGGTATAATTGACATATACACATGCTTGCCACTACATATGTATATAGATTCGTGTACCTCCGCAACATGATCGACTGGGTTTGAAATAAAGAGGAAGTCCGACGTTTATAATGATATAATGATTGATCGAACAACTGAGCGGTGGATCTGAGGGTAGCACTAATGGTGAAGTGTGGCAGATTGCGAAGAAATTTATGGCGGTGGATGGAGCTCCTGTTGAGAGTGAAATGAAACAGGTGACCAGAGTCTTATTTTTTGAGGGAAGGTTTTTTTTTTTCTGAAAAAAAAAGGACCACATATTGATTTGTATTATTTTAGTTTCTAATGTTTCAATTACATCATTTTATTAGTGAAATATTAAATATATTTTTATATAATCTTTTAAAAAATAATATCCGAATTACTAATAATTTTTTATCATAAATTTGTCATGTAATATTTAAATACAGATAAAACAAAATTTTGATAGCTTTTAAACAAAATTTTGGTTACTCTCGACAAAAAAATGTGTAACACGGTGAGCTTGTGAACCAAAATTTGAATAGATCACGATCAAAATTGTATAATTTAGATAATTATTTAATAAAAATTTAGTCAAAAGTTATTTATATAAAATAATTTAATTTAACTTAATAAAATCAATGCACTCTTAATTGATTGATATCGCAGATGAACGAGAGATATGATAAAATATTTGGTATAACGAGTAGACTATGTCATCACTCTGACATGGCGTAACCCTCCATTAATAAATAATAAATAAAAAAATGAATTTTACATAATTAAATAATTATTCATCAAAATAATGTAATAACAATCCCATATAAAAAAAGTAGGGTACACTTTATCCATTTAATTTTTTCTCATTTGATGGTTAGAATATGTTAGCGTGATTATATAGTATAACTGTGACACTTAATATTTAATTGAGAGAAGACGGAAAAAGAAGATATAATGGGAGTGGAGCTTGATACAGTCGAGTAATTTTTGGAATTATCCTATTAATTAATAATTAAATTATTTAAGAAGGACTATTGACATAAATCCAAATATTGAAACTCATCGGAACCAACTACGTTGCTTCATGCATCAAATTTTCTTCATCATTACATACAATAAAATGTTAAATAGAACGAGATTTTTTTATTAAATATTATTATAGATAAAAACAATTTTTTTATTAAATATTATTTATAACTATTCCGGTCACTATTATATCTATATATATATCTATATTACTTATAATGCAAAAAAAATTTAATTTTCTATTTTATTCTTAATTATTACACTAAAGACAATTATGTCCACAAAATATTAATTAGATAAACTTTATCACTAATATTTTAAAAAAATTTCTAGATAAATTTTATTACTATATATTAGTTAGATAAAATTTATCTCTATGACTTTCAAAATTTTTACTAAATAAGCTTTATCATTATTCCTTGCCAGTACATTCTTTTTTTTTTTTTGTTGCTATTTTTTAGGTGATAAACATAGCTATCAAAAATTCATTATTCATTGATATATAATAAAAAATTAGAAGAGTAAAGAGCTAAATCCATATATTTTTCTTTTTTAATACCTATTAGATTTTTAAAATATTTTGAACAACTTTATTAGAAATATATAGGTAGGTATAGAAAGATATACCTATATATCTTCAATAACTTCATTAAAATATATTGGTCTTATATCTCTGTAGTAAATTTTTTTTTCAAAATCTTTTAAAATTAGTGGTCTTACATCTCTATCCCCTTGACGTTAAGTATATTGTGGTTGTGAAGAATGATAGGTCGACACCGGGTGTTATCAACTTGTGAGTTTTTTTTTTCTATCAGGACATGCTTATTACTGGTATGATATTTTTTTTATTTTGTTTTTCATCTATTTTGGTATGGCTATTGCATAAATGTTCTATTTACCTTACAACAATTTTTTTTATAATTGGAACTAAAATTAATTTGTGTTCAATTGAATTGGTGTTCCCATCAAAGCGACAATGAAAGCTTAAAAAAAGGTATATTTTCATGGAATGAAGAACTTAATATATTAAATTAAATTTTTAATATTTAATTATTTATTATTAGTAGACTTGTAGAATGAGTTATCATATTTTAAGTAGAATTAGTTTTGTTACTGGACTTCTTGAATTTATGTGATGGTGGAAATAGTTTTATGTTAGTAAATTATATTTAAAAATTTTCTTGATTTTATGTTGTAATGTCATAAATTCTTATTGGATTTAAGAAACCATTAAATGCATATATCAACAATCTTTTGCTTTGTTAATTTCATACATTTTATATTTCTAAAAAATATAATCAAAATTTTGTGATCAAAATTTGTTTTAACGCACGTGTACATTACTAATTGGAATTAAACGCCCACAACTTATTTTGTGCAAAAAGGACTTCTTCATTTTTGCTAATGATACCTATACTGTTAACAATTACCCGAACCCGGACCCGGACCCAACCTCTTCTCCCAATACAGTCGAGACACACACAAAACTAGAGAGGCAGAAACCCTAGAAAGCAAAAGCCTTCCTGATTTCGCCATTANTTCTCCTGATATATTTAATCAGACAAGATTAGCAAGAGTAAGCCAAGCCAAGCCAAGTCCAAGAGATCATGAATGATAGATTAGAATGGGAAATATGGAAAATAGTCTCCAGATTAGAATTTGCCCAAACCTTTATCATTCTTTTTTCTTCAGCAAAAATATGAGCATCTAACTCTGCTTGCCTTTTCTCAGCTGCATGAATGGCTTGCAAAAAATCAAGAACCAACTTCCCATCCTTAGATATGTAAGCATCATTCAAATCTTCAACTGCCCCCACTAAATCCTGCAGTTCCACAAAACGAAGAACATTAAGTCACCTTGTCGCAATAGGCATGAACTAGAAAGCATAGAGTAACAACGTATATAGTATGAAACAAGTTAGTTCCACAAAACAATTTCCCTTTGTATAGAACACTTGAAAATACACTAACCTTATCTTCAGTTGAAGCAGCTGCTGCAGTTTTTTCAGTCTCATCTTTTAAATGGTATGCATCAAGGAGGGAACTTGGCTGTCTCATACCATCACCAGGGGCATTCTGCAAATTACCTCAAAATAACTGTAAATGGCACACATGCAAATTAAACTTTGATACAGAAAATTACTGCTACCTCTGGTGTGTCTTTAGTGTTGAAGTGTTGTGGCGGCATGAACTGCATCTCATTTTCTTGGGGAACTGCATCAGCCTGTTCAAGTATTGGTGTGATTTTGACAGCCTCAAGCTGCTCCAAATCAGGTTTCACCTCTGGGTTCTTCATGTCAAGATTATCTTCAAGCGGTGTTCTAGAATTACTACCTCCATTATCTGATGCCATGCTGCTATGAGGAGCTTTGGGAAACTCATTCCCCTGTCTGNGAACTGCATCAGCCTGTTCAAGTATTGGTGTGATTTTGACAGCCTCAAGCTGCTCCATATCAGGTTTCACCTCTGGGTTCTTCATGTCAAGATTATCTTCAAGCGGTGTTCTAGAATTACTACCTCTATTATCTGATGCCATGCTGCTATGAGGAGCTTTGGGAAACTCATTCCCCTGTCTAGGGCTGATATCTTCTTGAGGAGTTATTTCTGATGTCTCAGTTACTTTAAACTGGCTCTCTCCTTCATTTATGCTCGAATCTTCAAGGTGAGTGGAAGCTGAATGAATTTCAATATTTTCCTCCACATGATCCACGCCAGGGTTTAATATGCTCGACTCTTGAAGGTTGGGAACATTCTCTGCTAAATGTTCCCCATCCTTTGAACTTGTATTACTTTCCGACAATTGCACCTTGTCTAGCTCAATAGCTTTTCTATGCTGCTCTTTACCAAATCNAGGGTTTAATATGCTCGACTCTTGAAGGTTGGGAACATTCTCTGCTAAATGTTCCCCATCCTTTGAACTTGTATTACTTTCCGACAAGTGCACCTTGTCTAGCTCAATAGCTTTTCTATGCTGCTCTTTACCAAATAGAGTATCCCATTGGTAAGCTGTCACAAAAGCAGCACCTAGTGCAATGCTTCCCAGAACAACTTTTGACAAATTACTACCAGACTCGGATGGCTTTCCTGTTGAACCCGATCCCTGTGGTGCATTTTGCTGAGGTGTAACAGAGAATTCCTTCCTAGAAGAAAGATATGAAGGAATCTGGTCGAAATGTGTCAACAAAGAGAAGGAATAAAATGTAAAAAATCAGTTTCTCGCATTAGTATATAGTGCAATGGATGAAGACGTACAACGTGCATAGTTCACATCAATCTGGNAGAAAGATATGAAGGAATCTGGTCGAAATGTGTCAACAAAGAGAAGGAATAAAATGTTAAAAATCAGTTTCTCGCATTAGTATATAGTGCAATGGATGAAGACGTACAACGTGCATAGTTCACATCAATCTGAACTCAAAACTTTCGTGTATTTTTTCGTATGTCAACAACAAAATAAGCAAGGAAAAAAAAGAGTAACAGTCCGATAGTACCACAAGCAAAGAAGATGAAGGGCCTAAATAGGTAAGTTTAATGATTAATAATTATACAAATAAGCATAAATATATTTGGGAACATGGGGCAAAGTTTTGATGAGGAGACTAGGCATAAATATTTTGTTCCACCTGTCACCCTCGTCATTTGCTACTCCTTGACCATGTAGCAAAAAAGTTAAAAGAAATCAGAACTGAATGACTGCACCATGGGCCCTATAGCCAATGGCCACAGCACCCTTCCAACACCGAAACGAAAATATATAAATATCCCAATTTCATTTTATATGAATGGTCACCTTGGGCACAGTGCCTCCAAAGGCTTATAAATAGAAGTGTTTACTACTGTAGCTTTTGGGCGATGCTCCATGCATCGCTAGCCCAGGGTTCAGGCAAAAAAAAAGAATGGTCATCCTTGGCTCATAGGACTGAGGAAAACAATTTAGCAGTTCTCATGTGGGATATGTGAAGTCTGGGTGTAACCCATGCTTGACAAAGATATTTGACTCATCTTTAGCTTGATAAATGATACCACGAATGGGTTCTCCACACACAGGCCACCATTTTAAGGCAGATGTCAAGGGAAATGTCCTATGTATAATACCTCGACCCAATCTGGAAGGCTAACTTCAACGCATTTCAGGTGATCTAGTTGCGTAGACTCGCAGGCCAAAGAACATTCAACTGTTCCTAAAAAGGGAGTCAATCGAGTGGCGTTGTGTCATGCTTGGGTCGTGCTCTTTTGGGTTGTGTCATTTTTCGTTCAGGTCGTGGGGAAAAAACCATTTAATACAAAAATAATTCATAAAATACTATATCAATAAATGGAAAAAAAATAACAATACCAATTAAACAGGTTAACCATATCTAACACTAACCCAACCTACTTATTATGTATGTTAATTGGTCTGTGTTATTTTTGGATTCATCTCGTGCTCATGCCATCATGTAAAATTGACACCCCTCAGTTTCTTTACTTAGCTACATAGACTACGGTACTATGCAGCATTAACTTGAAATTATTTTATTTCACATTAAGAAATAACTATTTGAAAATAAATACTACTTAGATTCATTTGAGCATAGTTTGACGCACATAAATTTCACTTGTAAGCACTTTGGTGGGTGTGGACTTTGACTTGAGACATGCTACATAAAAAGTACCAGGAATGCAGTATTCAAATGAATTTGTCAAGTGTTTCAGCAGAAGTAAACAAGTGGACATCAACAAGACAGCTGCTCATGAATTATCAACAAGAGGACATTATTAAGACACGCTGCTCTCTCCAATATATTTTGCTTCCTTTGGACCATGTGCAGCCTACTAACTGGCTACAACCAACATTTCATGAGATCTGGACTGCAAAAATTTTCAGATACTATTGTCGGATGTCAGTACAGGGCTCTTCTGAGATTTAAACTTTTCTGCACTACCCTCTAGTCAATATGACCCCTCCACCATGTTTATTTCATGGTGTCAACACTCTGGTGCTTCTGTATACCCTTATGTATAGAGCAGTAATGAAACATTAAGCACACAAAACCCAGGAAATTGCAGATAGTATGATGAACTTCATCTGATTCTTGAGTATCTAAGTCAACACCTTCGTTTAAACCGCAATGTGAGTTCATTTTTTCTCTTACATCCACATGTAGATCAACCATGATCTATTTTCTAACTCTAGTTTATTTGCAAATGCGTAAATCATACATCTCAAGTCCTCTAAAACTGTCAATGTTCTAATGAATATATCTACGATGTGCATATTCTAGAATGCATATTGTCTTCAGTCGGCTGCAACTTGTGAAGGTATTCTCCTACCTCCTAATCCCCCACCCCAATTTTCTTCCTTTACCGAACTCAAAAAAGTACTATGTCACCAAAAATAAATCAAGCAAATAGTCTCTCCCTCCGTGTGTATGAGTGTGAGGAGATGGAAACTACATTTCGGTAAACACCATAACTAATATTCAAATAACCATGAGTTAAGCTTTTGCGTTGTTTGGTATTATAAAAAAATAGAAGGATGAAAAATTAAAAGGATAGTTAAACCACCACANAAGCTTTTGCGTTGTTTGGTATTATAAAAAAATAGAAGGATGAAAAATTAAAAGGATAGTTAAAACACCATGTTTGTTAAGAAATGAAAATAGAAAGGATAAAAAACTGAATGGATTAGCCTTACTTCCAATTCACTAAAATCTATCCCTCAAAAAATTGAGAAAAAATTTGTATGTAAAGTTAATTATGTATATTGAAATGTATGTTCTCTACTACTATATCCCTTAATATGTGTATATATCATATTTATCTATTATATATTATATATTATTGTGCACATTAATTTTTTATATAGATATAACGGTAAAATATATATCTACACTTTTTTCATCCTCCCACTTTTCCATCCTACCATATATAAAAAAACTAATCCTTCTTACTTTCTATCCCTCCTACAAACACAAACACAAACACAAATGAGAGAAGTAAAGATTCCTCCATAGAAGGATAGCAACTGTAAAATTATATTGAGTAATATAATTTTAACCCCACCATCACGTCATAGAATTTCAACTGCATTATAATTTATTGCTTCATTTTTTCAAAATAACGAAAACGCAATTCAGTCACCTATCAACCAATTCGTTTAAGGGTATTACAGAAAATTTTTAAAAAAAAATCAGCTTATTAAAGGAGAAATATAAAAATGCCTGGGTTGTAATCTGCGTTGGAGTCCTTTTAACCAGTCGACGGGACGAGAGCTCCAGAATGGACCTGCGAATGAAGAAAGCATATTTGTTGTGCATCAATTAACAAAACCAAAATACTCAGGCAAAAAAAGACAAAATCATCAAGAAATTTAGGCCAATTAAGAGTGCAAAACCCTATAGAGCTTGAGGTGTTTACAAACTAATAATCATTACCACGAAACACGCAAAGGAACTACAATATGACTGATACTTCTAAATCGAAATCTTAAACAAATTTATGAATTAAAAAAGGTATAATTGACATATACACATGCTTGCCACTACATATGTATATAGATTCGTGTACCTCCGCAACATGATCGACTGGGTTTGAAATAAAGAGGAAGTCCGACGTTTATAATGATATAATGATTGATCGAACAACTGAGCGGTGGATCTGAGGGTAGCACTAATGGTGAAGTGTGGCAGATTGCGAAGAAATTTATGGCGGTGGATGGAGCTCCTGTTGAGAGTGAAATGAAACAGGTGACCAGAGTCTTATTTTTTGAGGGAAGGTTTTTTTTTTTCTGAAAAAAAAAGGACCACATATTGATTTGTATTATTTTAGTTTCTAATGTTTCAATTACATCATTTTATTAGTGAAATATTAAATATATTTTTATATAATCTTTTAAAAAATAATATCCGAATTACTAATAATTTTTTATCATAAATTTGTCATGTAATATTTAAATACAGATAAAACAAAATTTTGATAGCTTTTAAACAAAATTTTGGTTACTCTCGACAAAAAAATGTGTAACACGGTGAGCTTGTGAACCAAAATTTGAATAGATCACGATCAAAATTGTATAATTTAGATAATTATTTAATAAAAATTTAGTCAAAAGTTATTTATATAAAATAATTTAATTTAACTTAATAAAATCAATGCACTCTTAATTGATTGATATCGCAGATGAACGAGAGATATGATAAAATATTTGGTATAACGAGTAGACTATGTCATCACTCTGACATGGCGTAACCCTCCATTAATAAATAATAAATAAAAAAATGAATTTTACATAATTAAATAATTATTCATCAAAATAATGTAATAACAATCCCATATAAAAAAAGTAGGGTACACTTTATCCATTTAATTTTTTCTCATTTGATGGTTAGAATATGTTAGCGTGATTATATAGTATAACTGTGACACTTAATATTTAATTGAGAGAAGACGGAAAAAGAAGATATAATGGGAGTGGAGCTTGATACAGTTGAGTAATTTTTGGAATTATCCTATTAATTAATAATTAAATTATTTAAGAAGGACTATTGACATAAATCCAAATATTGAAACTCATCGGAACCAACTACGTTGCTTCATGCATCAAATTTTCTTCATCATTACATACAATAAAATGTTAAATAGAACGAGATTTTTTTATTAAATATTATTATAGATAAAAACAATTTTTTTATTAAATATTATTTATAACTATTCCGGTCACTATTATATCTATATATATATCTATATTACTTATAATGCAAAAAAAATTTAATTTTTTATTTTATTCTTAATTATTACACTAAAGACAATTATGTCCACAAAATATTAATTAGATAAACTTTATCACTAATATTTTAAAAAAATTTCTAGATAAATTTTATTACTATATATTAGTTAGATAAAATTTATCTCTATGACTTTCAAAATTTTTACTAAATAAGCTTTATCATTATGCCTTGCCAGTACATTCTTTTTTTTTTTTTTTTGCTATTTTTTAGGTGATAAACATAGCTATCAAAAATTCATTATTCATTGATATATAATAAAAAATTAGAAGAGTAAAGAGCTAAATCCAAATATTTTTCTTTTTTTAATACCTATTAGATTTTTAAAATATTTTGAACAACTTTATTAGAAATATATAGGTAGATATAGAAAGATAGACCTATATATCTTCAATAACTTCATTAACATATATTGGTCTTATATCTCTGTAGTAAATTTTTTTTTCAAAATCTTTTAAAATTAGTGGTCTTACATCTCTATCCCGTTGACGTTAAGTATATTGTGGTTGTGAAGAATGATAGGTCGACACTTGGTGTTATCAACTTGTGAGTTTTTTTTCTCTCTATGACATGCTTATTACTGGTATAATATATTTTTTTTCATCTATTTTGGTATGGCTATTGCATAAATGTTCTATTTACCTTACAACAGTTTTTTTATAATTGGAACTAAAATTAATTTGTGTTCAATTGAATTGGTGTTCCCATCAAAGTGACAATGAAAGCCTAAAAAAAGGTATATTTTCATGGAATGAAGAACTTAATATATTAAATTAATTTCTTAATATTTAATTGTTTATTATTAGTAGACTTGTAGTGTTTTATGAGTTATCATATTATAAATAGAATTAGTTTTGTTACCGGACTTCTTGAATTTATGTGGTGGTGGAAATAGTTTTATGTTAGTAAATTATATTTAAAAATTTTCTTGGTTTTATGTTGTAATGTCATAAATTCTTATTGGATTTAAGAAACCATATATCAACGATCTTTTGCTTTGTTAATTTCATACATTTTATATTTCTAAAAAATATAATCAAAATTTTGTGATCAAAATTTGTTTTAACGCACGTGTACATTACTAATTGGAATTAAACGCCCACAACTTATTTTGTGCAAAAAGGACTTCTTCATTTTTGCTAACGATACCTATACTGTTAACAATTACCCGGACCCGGACCCAACCTCTTCTCCCAATACAGTCGAGACACACACAAAACTAGAGAGGCAGAAACCCTAGAAAGCAAAAGCCTTCCTGATTTCGCCATTACCTCAAACATTTTCGCTTAAAATCGTTTCATTATTTTTTTTTTTTGTTTTTTTTTCCTGTTTTCAGGAAGCTAATAGAGGATTAACAGCGGATTTGTGCCCATTATTTTGATAACCTATGTTTCGTTTCCGTCTTTGGCTTGTAATTTCGACGTGTTGGTTTTGTTGATTGTGTTTGTGTTTTTCTTACAATGTTTGTTTTTGTGTTCTGATGAAACTAGGGTTTTTTCTCCCTAATCAGCGTTTCAAGCCTGTGAATCGAACATCAATCGTGAGTATTGTACCGACTCAACCTTTGTTACTTTAACCTTTGCTCTCCGGTTGAATCGGTTAAACCATGACAATATGTCCTCAAGCTGTGTTGTAAAATATCTTTTAACACAACTTACCTTTATTTGTATATTCTGGTGGTGGGAATTTTTTAAGTTCTATATCCATGTGAAAAGATAAGCCTGGCTTTTTTTATTTCCTCGATATGTTTGGTTGCCATGGTAAATAAGAAGGTGAAAGATAATATGAATTAAGTAGGGAAACAAAGAATGTTGAGGGGATTGTCTTCCTTTTTCCTTTTCTCCAATCAATTACCTAACCAAATGGAGCATGCAGTTATATGGATTTTCCGATCGAAAATTTGTGGTGAAAGTGTGGTTACCACCTGGAATATATGTTGTTTTACTTTTTGGGGGAAGTGGGGCTTAAGTGATTAATAAATGTTTTGCAAATGCATTCCCCTTAAGGGGTTATATATATATATATACACGCCCAGTTGTTTTTGTTGATGATGTTAAAACTAATTAAGGCTTTTAGGATGTAATATTGGGTGTGGTTTGATATTTTTGTGGTAAGACTAATGTTGTGTGGTTGGATAGCCACGAGCAGTTTTTTTGGTGGTGAAGGGTGGCGATGGCAACAATCAGTAGAATAGTTGATATGGTATCATGTGAGATGAAAATATAATATTGTTGTGGTTTCCTTGGTTCTATTGACTAGGAACGTGAAACTAATATCTTTAATGTGATTTATTACTTTATTTATTGGTGCAAAAATATATCTAAATGATAAAAAGTTCGATGAGCAGCGAAGGCAGTGATGCCAATGGGTTCGCTATGATGTTTGCGTGGTGTTAATGGTTATGGTGTCTGTGGTATTAATTGAAATTATGACACTAGTAATTCAATTTTATTTTTTATTTTTTATTTTTATGTATTGCAAATGTTCCTATTTAGCACCACAAAGAAATTTAAAATCGTTTTTAGTGGATATGATATTCGGGGTTTTTACTTCAACTTGGTTTTGCCTGTTCTCTTTGTATAATACATGTAATTTGTAGCTGCAAGGTGCTCGTGGACACTGGATGTGGTTTTTCCAGATTGTCTCATGATAATAATATGTTTTCGTCCCTCCCTTTTGCTTCTCTTGTGAGATTTAATTACAAAGAAGAATCTCCAATTGTATCATTGCTTTTGCCTCACCTTTATGAAAATAATTACTTTTTTATGATTTTGGTATGGCTTATTAGGCTTTATCAAATAGTACTTCCCTTGGGTTTAACAAATATTGATTAATTATTGAGCAGTTGCTTTTCTTTTTCAACCGATTTATTTCAATTGTGGGATCATTTTTTGTAGGGGTTTAATCATTAATGACTTCTTATTTTTTATCAGGACAAGTTTTTTAAAGAAAAGGAAATTCAGAATACAAATAATGTCATTGTATCCTGTTCTTGACAATCGACCAATTGATCAATGGAAGGCCACAGCGCTAAAAGAAGAACTGAAGCGGCAGAATTTGACTACAAAGGGATTAAAGGATGATTTGGTAAAGCGGTTGGGTGAGGTAATTCACAATGAAATTGAAAATGCTGAGGGAAATGTTGATAATGGTTTTGATTGTGCTTCCCAACCAGAGGCTCAGTCTGGTCACCCAATGACAGGCCATGTTGTTACCGAGGCAGCTAAGGATATTGGGCATCATGATGATAACTCAAATGAGAATTTGGCTAGGAATATTCTTCAAGTTGACATCGATGATAGGCGGGCGCCATTGGAGAAAGAAAAAAGCTTCAGAAGGGGAACTAGCTGGTGGTTGTAATTCTTCTGGTATGGAAGGGAAGAAGGTAGTTCAAGTTACCAATTTCATGGTCAGTGAGAGCATGGTGCCTGAAATAGCTTTGAATGGACAAGACTCGCCAAACTGTGATATTCAGGGTGAGAGTGGGGATTCAAAGGCCCTGCTGTTGAATGAGGATTCAAAGGCTCTACAGGCGGATACAAAGCTTAGTTCATCTGATTTAAACAACCAGGTATCTGAGGTCAGCCCTGTTTTAGGGTTTCAAGTAAAATCTGATTCTTTTTGTATTGATTCTGTCTCAATTAATGAAAAGAGTGAACTAAATGATAACGTAATTGATAACGTAATTGCTGATGATGTCAAACTAGAGCTAGATGTTAAGCATGAGATGGTGCCATCATCCAACGATGTTTTCCTTGATGGCGGCAAATCACATCCGATGGATGTTGAAGAGCCACATGAGAACAAGGTATCTGCTGAAGAGACAAGTGACAGCAATACCAAAAGTGCAGATATAGGCAAAAAAAATGATAGTGGAGGTGTAGGTCCTTCTGAAAAGTTGAATTTAGATCGAGGTTCTGGGGAAGATTTNATTAATGACTTCTTATTTTTTATCAGGACAAGTTTTTTAAAGAAAAGGAAATTCAGATTACAAATAATGTCATTGTATCCTGTTCTTGACAATCGACCAATTGATCAATGGAAGGTCACAGAGCTAAAAGAAGAACTGAAGCGGCGGAATTTGACTACAAAGGGATTAAAGGATGATTTGGTAAAGCGGTTGGGTGAGGTAATTCACAATGAAATTGAAAATGCTGAGGGAAATGTTGATAATGGTTTTGATTGTGCTTCCCAACCAGAGGCTCAGTCTGGTCACCCAATGACAGGTCATGTTGTTACCGAGGCAGCTAAGGATATTGGGCATCATGATGATAACTCAAATGAGAATTTGGCTAGGAATATTCTTCAAGTTGACATCGATGATAGGCGGGCGCCATTGGAGAAAAGAAAAAGCTTCAGAAGGGGAACTAGCTGGTGGTTGTAATTCTTCTGGTATGGAAGGGAAGAAGGTAGTTCAAGTTACCAATTTCATGGTCAGTGAGAGCATGGTGCCTGAAATAGCTTTGAATGGACAAGACTCGCCGAACTGTGATATTCAGGGTGAGAGTGGGGATTCAAAGGCCCTGCTGTTGAATGAGGATTCAAAGGCTCTACAGGCGGATACAAAGCTTAGTTCATCTGATTTAAACAACCAGGTATCTGAGGTCAGCCCTGTTTTAGGGTTTCAAGTAAAATCTGATTCTTTTTGTATTGATTCTGTCTCAATTAATGAAAAGAGTGAACTAAATGATAACGTAATTGATAACATAATTGCTGATGATGTCAAACTAGAGCTAGCTGTTAAGCATGAGATGGTGCCATCATCCAACGATGTTTTCCTTGATGGCGGCAAATCACATCCGATGGATGTTGAAGAGCCACATGAGAACAAGGTATCTGCTGAAGAGACAAGTGACAGCAATACCAAAAGTGCAGATATAGGCAAAAAAAATGATAGTGGAGGTGTAGGTCCTTCTGAAAAGTTGAATTTAGATCGAGGTTCTGGGGAAGATTCCATGGAGGAGGACGCAATGGAGAGTAAACAGATAGATTCAAAGTTAAATTCTGATGAAGTGGGTTATAGGGTTGAGAAAATTGAAGGGCCTATTATGGTGAAGGAAGGCACTCTTGATGTTATTGGGGATGATTTACCTGCTGACGAGAGAAACACTGATGTTGAAAGTTAGAAAGGTCCTGTAGTGCCTTCTATGAAAAGAAAGCTCCGAGGTATGCTTTGCACCCAAGTTTTTTTTTCCATCTCTTGCCTCTTTAGTCTTTATCCATCATATTTTGTTTATTGGNAAAGAAAGCTCCGAGGTATGCTTTGCACCCAAGTTTTTTTTCCATCTCTTGCCTCTTTAGTCTTTATCCATCATATTTTGTTTATTGGGCTATGAGACGTGACATTATTTGTGTGATTTTAAATGACTATATATACAACTCGTTCAAGAAGCAGTCAACTTGTAGTTTCTTTGTTTGGATTATCTGTGATCACTAGGCTTATATCTATACTTGCCTAGAAACTTGAAAACTTACCTTGTTGGTGCAAGGTTGAGAGCAATAGTAAGTTCAGAGGGAAAAACAGAGGGGCAGGGTTTGTGTGAGTAGCCATGTGGCCATGACTATGTGGGAGAATTGAGACTTTTAAAAATATATATTTATTATTGTGCCTCTGTGTGTGCACTCCAATCAGAGTAGGTACTACTGTAGGAATTTCCGTTGAGACAAAGAGTGAGATGAATCTATGATTTGAATCAGATAATAGGATAACATTGATTTAGGCCTGAATAGTTCTAACCTTCTAGGGGTAGTCTGGTAATGAAAAAAATAATTTAATTAGTTTGTACCGGAGGACAAAAAGTGTTGGAGTTGTCCTTAAGCCTGTAAAAAGACTGAGCTTGTACCTAATAACCAAAAAAGAGCATGTGACTGTACTTTTGGACAATTTTCACTTTAAATTATTGGTCCTTCAAGTTGGAAAAACATCTTCTTGGAAACAATTAGATAGGCATGGATGTCTAGTACATGTATCTTCCCAAATGTTCCCGAAGGCCCCTAATTTTCCTGAACATGTGGTCCTTATCCTTATTGAATTGAAATGAAGGAATATTTAGGTTTTGGTAAAGTTTGGAAGGAGCACGGTTCAATTTAACTAAAAACATCTAGTGCCATATTAGGCGAGCTACATATATTTGACTTAACCATTTCACTTTATTGTTTTCGTAAGATTCTTGTGACTATTGATATGTTGAAAGATTTTTTCCCTGGCCGTGGACTACTTGAGGCATCTCTGGCTTTGTCCTTGAGGTGGCCACAAACAAGGTCCATTTGTCCTTTTGTTTGGTGGTTGTCTGATGGTGTATCATNTAAGGCATCTCTGGCTTTGTCCTTGAGGTGGCCACAAACAAGGTCCATTTGTCCTTTTGTTTGGTGGTTGTCTGATGGTGTATCATTTTATGCAACTAAACATGTTGTTAGTGTTAGCTGTTGTATTCTTATTTGGAAGTAGTCCATGAAGATCAGTTTCTTTTTGGTCTGTCTCCATATAATGTGCTGTTATGACAGACCAAGAAACCNCTACTTAAGGCATCTCTGGCTTTGTCCTTGAGGTGGCCACAAACAAGGTCCATTTGTCCTTTTGTTTGGTGGTTGTCTGATGGTGTATCATTTTATGCAACTAAACATGTTGTTAGTGTTAGCTGTTGTATTCTTATTTGGAAGTAATCCATGAAGATCAGTTTCTTTTTGGTCTGTCTCCATATAGTGTGCTGTTATGACAGACCAAGAAACCCTTGGGAATAATGAGACTACAACGAGGCAGCGCAGGTGGAATTCTGATGGCATTAGAGTTCCTGAACCACAAAGCATTAATGTTGCAGCTTCTACCACACGGTCCACACCTAGGGATGCATTTCAGCCTACTATGAAACACAAGTTTTCTAGATCTAATTCTACAGTTAGTGATGAGAAGCCAAANCTACCACACGGTCCACACCTAGGGATGCATTTCAGCCTACTATGAAACACAAGTTTTATAGATCTATTTCTACAGTTAGTGATGAGAAGCCAAAGGGAACGTGTTGGTGAGTTGTAATCCTTCTTGTGATCCAATACATTGTAATTGAAGACTAACTCCAGCATGTAAGCAGTTTTAGTTTTGTGTTCCTTTGGCAGTCCCCCCGGTGTCAAAGCCTCCAACAAATTCTCTCAGAATTGATCGTTTTCTTCGGCCTTTTACCTTGAAAGCTGTGCAAGGCCTTCTAGGCAAAACGGGTACTGTCACCAGTTTCTGGATGGACCACATTAAAACACACTGCTATGTCTCAGTAAGTCTTGTTGCTCTCTGTCTCTCACTCGATTTTATGTCCTCTATAGATGTTTGCAGTATGACAGCCCTGATGTATGGACATCTGTCTGATGCAAATGCGGNACCTTCTAGGCAAAACGGGTACTGTCACCAGTTTCTGGATGGACCACATTAAAACACACTGCTATGTCTCAGTAAGTCTTGTTGCTCTCTGTCTCTCACTCGATTTTATGCCCTCTATAGATGTTTGCAGTATGACAGCCCTGATGTATGGATATCTGTATGATGCAAATGCGGGGGATTGCCCACTCGGGGAACCTGGCATGATGTCTCGTTTTTAACCGGCATTCATCCTCAAATATTTTGGATTGGTTTGGTTTCTGAATCATTCATTACTGTTGTCGATCCAGTATTCATCAGTTGAAGAAGCTGTAGAAACTCGGGATGCTGTGTTTGACTTACAGTGGCCTCCAAATGGAGGGCTCCAGCTGGTGGCCAAGTTCGTTGACAGTCAGGAAGTTAAAATGCGGGTTGAGGCTCCACTCCCGTCCCCTGCAACTCCTGTCAGCACTGGTACTATCCTCCCTCCAACTCCACCCACCAGGCAGCCCCAGCCCTCTCCCTGGCTACAGGTTCAGAGACAGCACCTTCCAACAGCACCTCTTCTTCCACCTCTGCTACCATTGACTAATCCCCTACCAGCAAGGGAACAGCTTCCTCTTCCCCCACCGCCTCCATCTCCTGAGAAAGTTGACCCTCCAGTCGTAACTCTGGATGATCTCTTTAGGAAGACCAGAGCAACGCCACGGATCTACTNACCCACCAGGCAGCCCCAGCCCTCTCCCTGGCTACAGGTTCAGAGACAGCACCTTCCAACAGCACCTCTTCTTCCACCTCCGCTACCATTGACTAATCCCCTACCAGCAAGGGAACAGCTTCCTCTTCCCCCACCGCCTCCATCTCCCGAGAAAGTTGACCCTCCAGTCGTAACTCTGGATGATCTCTTTAGGAAGACCAGAGCAACGCCACGGATCTACTACTTACCGTTGTCTGACAAACAAGTTACAGCAAAGCTGAGGGCACAGGGAAAGGTGCCCAACCAGTAGGGATGGGGTTGTAACGTGTTTAAACTGAGCAGCTCATCGGATTTCCTAATGGATTGATCAATATATTAGAAAATGGTAAGAAAGAATCACACACATATAATTGCATCTTTGCAGGTCTGCAGGTGTTGCTTGTAGAAGGGGACTGTTTTCCGTCAAGGAGGAGCTGGTTCGTTGGACTTTGGTTTTTCTGGTAACTGCTTTGGGTTGTACCCCCCAACTACTATAGACAGTGAGAGATGGTAATAGCCTTCTTACACGAACTGACTCGGCCTGATTGAGCAAAAAATATGGAACTAATCGAACTACTATAGACAGTGAGCCCCTGTTAATAATTGATTTTGGACTCTTTTGTGAGTATAAATTTTGAAATTGGGGGGTATATTATAGTCTATGATATTGCTGTATGTATTGTAAATGTGATGTAATGGTGGAGAAAGAGTGAGCTTTGTAAGAGACAACTCTGTAAGAGAAACAAAAAAATAGAAATAATATATAATATTATAAAAATGGTAAAAAAAAAAAAAAGGGGATAATGGAAAATATTAGAAGAAAAAATTAATGTAATTTTGGTTGGAGCATAGTTTTTGCCGTAAATATACAAAATCAAGCTTGTTATCCGTGGAAAGACCATGCTCGGACCGAAGTGTTATAGCAGGTGAGCAACCTGATTTATTTTTTTTATCAGCCAAGGACAAGACTATACAAAACTGATTAGATTTTCACTAACAGGCTGTTGGAAGTATCATCTGACAAAAATGCATCGACATGTAAACAAAGAGTAATGGTACATGGATTAAAAAATAGACTTAATAATTATAATTATTGATTTTACTGTTAATTTCAGTATTTCTTGGGATTCATTATTTATTTAATAATTGTGATTATTAAGTTTAATTTTTAAATTTTTGTAGTATTTCCCGCAAACGAATATATGTAGACAGATTATCTATGGCAACAAATATCAGAAATTAAATGAGGAATGTAAGACTTTTTTAACATTTAAGTAAATAAATTGTAATTACCTATACTCTTGAAAGATGAATAAAAGTGTAAAAAATATTTTATCTTCTCAACGATTGAAAATCTGGCGTTACACTATAATTTTTTATTTTTAAAATGTGGTAAGAATATGTCCTAAAAATATTGTTTTTTTTTATTACCAACCAATTAACCAAATCAAGTCTTATATTCTAATCTAATCATTTGAAATTGGTTGAGTTTGTTTTCTTCATTCGTTTCGGTTATACACTATACGCTTATTTAAATTAAATATTTTCATATTATTTCGTTCAATGTTAATTTATGTTTGTCTATACTCCTAATACTATTAAAAAAAAATTTATCACTTTTTTTCTAATCGGTGCCTCTTTTAGCCTTCGTTGAATATGACTAAACCATCTTAATCTATTATCTTTCAATTTATTCTCAATTAGAGCTATTGATACCATTTCTCTAATACAATAATTTCGTATTATATTCTTTCTAGTTTTTTCATACATCCACTTGAATATTCTTATTTTTTGCTTCATTCATTTTGTCACTATATTGTTTGTTAGTTGTCTAAAGTTCCGTCCTATACAACATTGTTGTCCTTGTTATTGATTTTACGTCTATATTTCTGGATGAGTACCAAATAACTGTTGAATTCTGATTTTGGAATGTGATTCTGAAATGGAGTGCTACATTTTACTCCATTTTTAGTCTTGAAGAGCAAGTTCTTTGTTGCAACTTTCATACTTTCCCGTTGTTCCTTTTTGATTTCATGGACAAGGAATTGAGATACTTATCATAATCCTTATGATTGTTTTGGAGAAAAAACATTCACTAAGAAAAATGGGTTGAGGCATAAACTGTTATTACGTTGTGATATATATACAATTTCCTTATCCTCCTTTCTATGCAGAGATCAGGTAGTTGAGGTCATTTGATAGTTCAGGTTCCTATAACATGACTGTCACACACACACACACACACCCCTCCCCCTTGTTTACAACATAATCAAACTTGCTGCTCGAAGTCGACTGGGGAGAGAGAGAGAGAGAGAGAGGCAGCTCTGCTGAGTCGACGGGAAGCAGAGTCAGTTTGCCAGTTGGAGTTCGGAGCTGTGGGGGGCGAGATCTGCTGAATAGGAGATGAGATGGGGTTTGAATATACGGAAAATTTCAGCCAGACGTTTTTAGTTTGTCATATTTTTAACGACATCTCATTTATTTTTTGAATTTTCAGTCATACTACTTTTAAATTATATTTAAAAATTACCGACACTTTTTCTATTAAACCGCTAATTTTAACCAAAAAAAAAAATTATTTAAACTACCAAAATTGTTCTTACATAAACCTTAAACAGTCTTTTTATATAAAATTTGAGTTGATTAAATTTTTTTTCATTTTATTATTTGAACTGATTAAAATTTATTTTTTTACATATTAAAATTCTTATCTCGTTAATTATTAACTCTTTTATCAATATCAAGGGTATTGTGAATATTCATTTCTATTTCAAATTTTCTGGTTACTTTCTTCAACATCATTTTCCACATCAATTTTGGAATCAAGTGATAGTTTTTTTTTTTTGGTATAAATGTTAATTTTATCTTTTTGCTAAATAATAAAATAAAACAAGAAGGTCAATTGGCAGTAGGAAATCAAACACTTGCAGGGTTTTCTCTCATATGATATTCTGATGATTCCTACATGAAAAATTAGGAATTTATTTATCTAACATATGCTAATATCATCAACTTATAAATGCATTAAGGGTTTGAATCGAAAAAATAACCTCTCCGCATGTGGGTATAAAACACAGCAGTGGCAGGAGTTTTTGAGCCGTGCATCGAGTTTCAACTATCTGTAGACATGCTGATGCCAGGGATCACGAGTTAAGAAGGCATGGGATCAGAATTACAACTAGAGCTATCTAACATTGACACTTTTATCACAGCCATGACTAAGCAAACATCTGATAATTTTTTTGGCAATCACTGATATATCCAATATGCCAAGTAGAGAGTCCAAAATTGTGTCATTTTACAGATTCCAGAACTACTCTGACTATATCTTTAATCAACAAACTAAATAGTTGAGACGTCACGGATATAACTATTCCATATCTCAGATGCAACTGCATCCCGCAACTGTGAAGAGTGTTCGACTTCTTGTGTTTCAAAAGGAATGTCCAAAACTTGAGTTTCATCATGCATGAGTGGCTGCTCGGCTTCTAAAGGTGGTGGCATTGAATCTTCAAAGGGAAGTCCAGCTTCCTGTTCATTCATCTTGAAAATCCAATCATCTGGCTTTTCCCTACGGATGTAATTGTGTATCGCACATGCCGCCACAACCAACTTTACCTGTGTAGGTAATGGGTAAGGAGGAGCCGACATCAAAATAGGGAAACGTGCCTTTAATGCCCCAAAAGTACGATCAGTAGCATTATGCAACAATGAGTGCCGATGATTAAATAGCTCTTTTGCATCTTGAGGATGGAAACCACCACCAAATTCAAATGAGCCATAGGGAATACCAGGATATGGAGCAATGAAGCCTGGGATACTTGCATACTTGGTGTCCACTAGGTAATATTTGCCTGCAAAAAGTTGAATTTTTATCCAGATTCTGATATAAGGACACAAGGGGAGTTCGGACTGCAAAAAGTACATGATTTTACATTGGTTTTCTATACAACGTTGAAACTCCAAAGGATTTCAAACAATAAATCCCAAGGAAAAAGAAGGGGGGGGGGATGTGTCCTCTCCTCCCTCTACACAGGAGAAATAACAAAAAAAATTACATGATTTTTCAGAACCTTCGTAAAACAAATTGGAATAATGGCGCTACAATCAATCACATCAGCATCAATATAGTGAATTATGACTTCTCATAAAAGATGGGTTGGTACCTTCGGGAACTTGGAGCTTGTTCCGCCTTGTGAGAGCTGAATTTAGAACTCGCAAATCTGCTGCTGATCCTTCCCAACCAGCTAGAACATAATGGAACTTCATATCAAATGAGCATGCTGCCAGAACATTTTGTGAAAGGAAACCATTTTTATTACGGAAAGGTCCTTGCTCATCCACACCCACCATCACTGGAAAGTGTATGCCATCAACTGCTCCCACGCAATCCTAGCAGAATATTGTTAGATGGGAGATTAGTTTCGTTTCAAAATTGCAAAGAAAAAAAACTAGTAGTTCTTCAACTGTTGGATTACCCTAAAATAAGGATAAAATCGAGGATCTTCCCGAATTTCTGGTGGAACATCACTTCCTGGAGGCTGAAAGAAATCTAGTGAAATAGCTATAATTGCATTCAGCACATTGTTGAAATGGCGACTAATGGTTTCCCCTGAATACCTGAAAAGCTCTTGAACAGCTCGAGTTCTTAGATTATGGCCTACTATGAACATGAATATTGCTAATTGCTCCTCAATCTTGATTCGATTTGTATGACGTAGTAGGCCTCTGGCTTGTAAAATGTCACACAGCTTATAAAATACATGTTTATCCATGCGAAAATTCTCCAGACAATGTTCATTTTGACCATTAAGAACTTCATCTACAAATTTTGTACCATTAGATGCTAAAGAATAACCCAATTCCTTGGGTATATAACTCTCAATGGCCTCATCTTTTTTATCATCAGAGTTCTCCATGACAAAGCAACCCCCTGCCTGCACATGCACTATACATCGGATGTTAAAAACAGAGGAGGATGAGCACTACTCCACTTTCTGAAGAAAACCCCATCAGATTAGAAGGAGGAGATACACAACAATTGGAAGTTAGGCCAGGTCTGCCATTCATGCAAGATCTGTAAAAGAAATGACCACTTCAGAGGACAGCACTTGGACATAAAACTAAAAAAAGGCCAATAAATACCAGAAGAGATAATCAGATTTCAGAAGGCAGAAAAAAGAAAAACGAAGAAATTCCAGGTGGAACATATGGTAGAAAAATGGACCACTTTCCCCATGTAAGACACTCTGAAGCTTGGCTCTTTGGGCAACTACAGTTGCTGCTCACTAGATTTCAGTTAAAACATCCTTCATTAGATTTTCATCATAGGGATAGTTTTCTTAGTTGGAGTGATCAATGGTATGGTAAATTTTGGGAGATACCAAGAGTCTCATAATCCTTCAGTTCCATTACTCTTGCTTCCTTCAAGCACATACTCCCTTTCTGTAACTCTTTCCGAAATGCTCCCTCAAAACCATTGTTACCACCTCTTGCCCCTGTATGACCAGCCATGCTCTCAATGTTTTCAAAGCTCTTTTTGAAGCAAGAGATCCTGTTTTTCAATGTAAGTTCCCTACCGTTAGAGTAATCTAGTAAATTAGCTTTACGGGTAAATTAGTAATTTATGTTACTATGTTTGCCCTAGTATATAAGACTACTATTGTATAGTTTATCTCTTGATTTTCGTCTGTAATACTCTGACTATTTTGAATCAATATATATTTCCTCTTTCATTGATAAACATTAACATGGTATCAGAGTCATGATCTCTAAACCCAAAAATTAATTCATGATTGAAGTCTAGAAGAAAACCTGTTGAACCTGGTGAACCCGACGTGAACAGCACTGACGTCATCATCGCCGGCGATGACGTCATCAGTCTCCGACAGAGAATACCACCATCAAGATCGAATTTACATGGGCTTCTCATTGGTGGGTATCTTCTTTTCAAAAAAGAAAGATGAGGTGACATAAAGGATGACATTTTTTTTAGAAAATAATGCTACAATACGTGGAATCATTTCATGTAGAGGGAAATGACATAAGCACTTACGTTCTTGTAAGGGCAAATTAGTCTTATTGTATTGAATCCTTATTCTATAAAAGGATGTGTCTTTCATATTGCTAGGCATAACTTTCTTTGAAATTTTCTTTCTTTCTGTCTCTCTAAGGCAGACTTCCATCCTTCTATTGTGAAGCCTTCCTTCCTTATCTCTATTGTAAGTGTTTTCCTTTGTATAATATAAAGTTTGCTTTTATTCTTTGCGATCCTTTACTATTTGGTGTATATATATATATAGTAATTCTAGGATATTATAATAACATGTAAATGAGAGATTAAGAGATCAAAAACGTTCAAAACTAAAACAATTTATGCTGCTAACATTGGGATTGATTAATGGTATTTTGAAACCGATGTTCTATGTAATTCTAAGGCTAAACATGTGTCACCCTTTGAGAGTTCTCAACTTTTACTTAGCATTTAATTGCAATAGACTTTATTGGATTTGACATTATTCAGGCCAACTTAATTGCAACAATTGACAAATCTTATGATATATGTGGTGAACATTCAAATGAACAACTTGAAATAAAGAATCCCCATCCGTATGATTCATGATTCTATACAACCCACTAAATATAACGAGAAAGTATCCGTTGTGGAGATACGTGTGTCCAAGGTTCATATGACAAGTATCCAACAGTACTAAAGATTTTAGTAATTATTGGATGCATGAGAAAAGTATCTTACATCTGACGCGTATTGGGGGTGTCCATAAGTATTGGATACACATACGTCATTTCGATTGAAGTGTGCTCCATAGGGTCACTGTTACTCAATCCATTTTTCTCATTGAATCGTTTCTCTCCCCTCCCCCCCCAATAAAAAAAAAAAATCATAAGTATCTCAGTGTGATGGGCTTGAGATCATGACATTAAAAGGAATAACATGAAAGTATAAAAGTTGCAACACATAAATTAAGACCCTGTTTGATTTGCCTATTAGAAACTGTTTTTTAGTTTTTTATTTTTCTGTTTGGCTAGCTGTTTTTTGAAAACTAAGAACAAAAAGTGGGTAGATTTTAGAAAATAAGTTATGACTGCTTTGTATGTATTTGAAAATAACCTTTCTAGAATTTAGACACCACTACCACACTTCCACCACCAACACTAGGCCTGCTAATCCTAGACACAATTCGTGAAACCAACATAGATTTAGTAAATTTGGGTGTAGTTTTAACAAGTTTAGGTAGTTAAAGGCTTAACTCGGCAGACCCGTGAAATAAACAAATCGATTTCATGTTTATCCTATAAACTCATTTCAACCCGTTTAACCTGTTAACATTGGCACTATAAATTCCCCAAAAAAATATAGGTCTCAGCCTCTGCCTCACCGCAAAAATGGTAATTTCTTTCACATTCGTTGTCGTGCACACTTTTTTGCTCAACCATGACAGTCAAACATATAATGTGTGGCGAGTTGATAATTTTTTGTGTGGACTCGAAAACTCTAACAGATTCTCTTATTTAACAGGTGACACAAAGATTGTGTTAAGTAACTCATCTAATAAATGAGTCGTGTATGAGTGTGATAGTTGGACCCATTTACATAAACGATGGGGTATGGATGGATAATTTTTTAACATGAACCCGTTCTACTTGACACGATTGCCAGGCCTAACCACCACCAACATCACTACACTTCCACCACCATGGCGTCTACGACCACCACCATATTTCTATTTTCATTATTTTTTGAATTACTGTTCAAACAAGTTTTACTGATTTCTATTTCGTAGAATTGTTTTTGGAATCATATAACCAAAGAATTTCTGTAACACGAAAAAACCAAAATAATTTTCTAAAATTCTTCCCAAAAATAATTTTTGCATACTATTTTTTGAGACGCAAATCGAACATGGCATAAATGTTAAATGTAGAACTCTAAAGTTATTATTTTTTATTTCTCTTTTTTGTTTGGGCTGGCCATTCGTTTTAGGTTTATTTTACATGAAATTTGGCCTCAAAAACTTTTAAAAAACATGGATCAGCCGAATTTACCCCATTTATCAACTCTTTATACCGAAAACAAAGCAAATAAAATCAATAAAAAAGCATTATTACAAAAGATGTACATGGGTGTGTGTATTTTAACCCTCAAGCCAGAACAAGAAGAAGAATGCTCATGCCGCGGAAACATCAAATAATCAAAGATCAAACATAGCTAAAAAACAAGGTCAACAAATTCTTTTCGACTGGATGTAATTCCAAGAGTCTCTTTGAATCATAGGATTCGAATTGGTACCGAAAAGGACCTCGAAAGAGAGAAGACAACTATTGTGATCGATTCTGATGGAGGAGAGAAAGACCCTGTGACGGGTTGATGTGGTCAGTTGGCCGCACAAGTTAACCAGTTTGAAGGATTCTCACTTCCTACTTCGATTGACTTTCACGTGTTCTATTATATGTATTCAGGGACTTCAATCAAAAGTTCATGTATAGGGAGAATTCATTTTAGCAGTTAGAATTTAACCCAAACACTATGACCTGGGTTTGGGCTCAATAATTCGGGTGGGATAGGTTCAAACTAAGCCCAAATTAATTTATCTACATTATTATAAAATTTGAGAGGGTTTCATAACTCTTCTTTTTATCTCTCTCTTTATCTTTCTTTAATTTATAAAATTTTTAATTATCTAAATACAAGTAAAAAAATTTAGCCAATTATACTCTACCAACTAATTTAAATAACTATCCACAAAATTTCTCATAACTAACCACTATCTAATTAATGAGATGAAAAAAAAAATTAGGATAACTGGCGCTGGTTGGTGGTGCAACCCATTCAATTGATTTCAGATTTCTTAGGGGAAAAAAAAATGGTGGCACTATCTACAGCATTGACTTCATTTTCTTAAATCCAGCACCCATCAATAGCACAGCATGCTCAACTAAATTGAGTCCCTCAAAATCCCCCATCCCTGATCCCTAATCCCCACCCCAATCCGAAAATGGTGCTCAAATGTTGCAATTCCAAAGAAATGACGTGTACTGTGCAAACTGTGATTTTGTTTGGAATGACTCAGATATTACAAACTACAGTGATTATATTATATTGGGTTTAAAATTATTGTTTTGCTGCAAATTATCTGGTTAGTTTTCTTACGTTTTGTAATTTCTTTTTGTTATTCAATGGGGTTTGATATTAGTATAATGGTTAGTTGACAGATATTTTGTTTGAAAGTTGGTACAGTATTGGCTAAAGGTGGTTCATACCTTTTATAACTATTGATATTGATTGATCATGGTGGAGTCAGAAGGCAGGTCTCCGAACTATATTAACTCCGGGGCCAGATTTGAAATTCTTCCAAAATAACTCCAAATCATAAACAAACACAGAACATAGATATCGCCATAGCTACAAACATACACACACATTCAAAGACGCCTTATAAACCCAGGTCGAATAAATACCTCGAGCTTCGAGCAGACCATCAATCGCAGCCGCATGTGAGAGTGTGAGAGGCGAGAGCTTCGCTAAGAGCTTCAAAATCAGAAGTGCTGCTCGAAGTCGACTTGGGGGGGGGGAGAGAGAGAGAGAGAGAGAGAGAGAGAGAGATGGAACCAGTTGCTGCTCAGCTCAGACGACGGGAAGCAGAGAGTCAGTTTGCCGGTTGGAGTTCGGAGCTGTGGAGGCGAGATCTGCTGAATAGGAGATGAGATGGGGTTTGAATATAGTAATTTATTGANGCTGCTCAGCTCAGACGACGGGAAGCAGAGAGTCAGTTTGCCGGTTGGAGTTCGGAGCTGTGGAGGCGAGATCTGCTGAATAGGAGATGAGATGGGGTTTGAATATAGTAATTTATTGAGAGAATTTCACCCAATTCGGTTTTGTATCCCTGAAATATTGCACAGATTCTTAAGAACATTTAGACCCTACCTCCAATGTTTATTCATTAAAAATTACACTTAAATTTTGTAAAATTTATAAGTATATAATACTCAAATTTTTAAAATTTTAAATATTATATTTAGATAAAATATACTGTAATTAAAGATAAAAAAATTCATGTTCTATTGTATTATTTATTTAAAATAAAAATCAATTTTTTAAATCGTAATTAATATATAATTATATTATATATTAGAATAAAACTAAAAAAAAAAAATAAAGGGTCTAAGTCAT